TTTAAGTGGGAGAACTTGCACAATTGGTGGCTGACTAAATACTTTTTTGCCCCGCTGTATGCCCACCTTGGAGCCATTTTTTAAGAGTATGCCTGGAAGTTATACCATTACCAAGATCAGCAAATGATATTTCATTTTTAAGAATTATAATCTGCACTCATAACAATTCTGTTTAGGTAGTTAAAAGCAAGATTGAATTAATTATTTGATTTTTGTTAGATTTATATTTTAAATATACCATTTAAAACAGAGGTAGAAAACTTTCTCCCCCTTGGATGTGGTAGACTTTGACTCTCACAGGTCCCAGTCAATGGTCTGGTACAATGGGGCGCTGTAGTCCAACAACCTTTAGAGTCATACCCTTCTCCGACTTACCCCAAGAAACTTGCTCTCACATAAAAAGAACCTGAATACTATCAATGGAAAAGTATAATGGGTGGGGAGGAAAGAAGAAAGAAACCTGGAGAAATTATATAAAGGGTGCCAAATTAGTGACAGGAGGGCTAGACTTTGGCCAAGAGATTCCACTGCATAGTAGAACTTCAAATTCATTTATAAATTCATTTATTCATTCATTCATTCATTTGTATGTAACCAAATCAATAAAGGCTCATAGCCAGTAAGTCATTGTGGGGAAATCATCTTGTTTTGGCAATCAAAACAGAAAATCCCACAACTATATTGTAAAAACACAACAATAAACAAGCTAAACAATTTCCTCTTCTTCCATGATCTCCAAAATCAGCTGCCTGAGGAGGCCACATAATGCAAAAATCAGGATTTTGTGTTTCAATTTTAGTTTAAGTAATTGTTATTAAATATACCTACCATGGGTGTGCTAAGAAAACTGCCCCCACTTCTTCCTTGATAGGGCTGTGTGTAATTCTGGTACAACTGCATTCCATACTATAAACAAGGAACAGAGAACTATTACAATTTTATGTATATACGTTCAACCACCTGAGAATATTCTACCATCAAAATAGAAACACAGCCATGGCATAGAGCCAGGTCATGCCAGGGACCACCTCTCCCTGATTATGTCTATCCATCCCATTAGGTCCAGAAAGAGACGCATGCTCCAGGTCCTGCCTATTAGGGAGTGCCATCTGGCAGAGCCCAGGAAGAGAGTCTTTTCTGTCATGGCACCCACCCTTTGGAACATCAACCCCCACAGAGATTAGATTGGCCCCAATACTGCTGGCTAAGGCTTTAAACAGTTTAGAGATCTGGATATGTGGCAGAGCCTGTCTAATGGCCATATTGATTTGTGTTGTGTTAAAAAACAAAACAAAACTT